AAGATTCTAGGGACAGACATGGAAGAGTAAATAAAGTGAGGATGAATTTTGAGAAGTTGCATTTAAATTAGATTATCTATTGAGCTCTCAAAAGAACCTAGCCAATTTTCCACAAAGAGTGAATAAAGCTAATGCTCAAATTTCAGTTTCTAAGCACTAACTGGAGATTCTTTGAGAAATGGCCAATCCAAGACTGTAAAAGTTCAAGAATAAGGGCTTTGGGAATACTGTATGAACTATAAGTCAAACTAGTTGTAGGGACATGCTCACACCAAAACACAGGAAGTGGTATGAGAGGGTTATATTTGCCATAATTTAAGCATTGAAAAGAGTGATGGTAGTGGATTATAATATACCAATAAAAACTCCTGTCCACAGCAATACTCGGGGAAAAAACAAAACAAAACAAAACAGAGAGTTAAGGAGAGTCCTGCTTCTATACAAGACTGGTAAATTAAAAAAAAAAATTATAGAAATAGGAAATGCTCATTTTGCAATTACCAAATACATTTAGGCAAGGATAATCTAGAATGCTAAAATCTTCCATACATTGTTAACATAGCATAGCACTTAGTACATATTACAAAACAGAAAAGGTACCTTTATTTAAAATATAAACAAGTCAAATAGCATCATCACTAAAGAGATAAACAGACATCATCTGCCTCCCAGAGTGACCTAGTGGGAAATGCACACTACCTTCCTTAGACATGGCAGTGTGTAACAGAAGCCCCAGTTGTCAGGACACACACGTCCAAGTGTTTAGGGGTCAGAGGCATGACAAGTTTTTTTAAAAACTCAAATGTGTAATACATTCAGATAAAGCAAATGTAGCAAAATATTAAGCAGGGAATCTAAGTGAACTTTCGTCTACTCTGTAGGTGTAAAATTTTAAATAGGTGTCAGGCATGGTGGCACTTCCTGTCACCTCAGCAACTGGGAAACTGAAGTGGGAAAATTACAAGTTTAAGGTCTGTCTGGGCTTTACAGTGAGACTGTCTCAACCAACCAAGCAAACAAAAACAAAACACGAAGGGTTAGAAAGACACCTTAGTGGTTAAGAGCACTTGCTGCTCTTCCAGAGGACCTGAGTTTGACACTTAAAATCTCCTTTCTTAGTCAGGCATGGCCATGCATACCTAAAACTGAGGTTCCTAACTACCTGTAACTCCAGCCCCAGGGGGATCCAATGTCCTCTTCCGGCCTCCTTGGGCACCTGCATGTACATACAAGTACATGCCTAGAAACACACACACACACACACACACACACACACACACACACACACACACACACCCTCTCAAGAAAGAAATGCAGCATTAAATACAGGAGAACAACAAAGCTAAAGGAGTAAGAGTGAACAGAGATGACGACAGAGATGCTTCTGTGGCTCTGGATGGGGAAAGCAGATGTGTAGACGAATTTCTAAACGGTCTTATTAAGTTAAAAACTCAGAGCTAGAAATTGGGGTTAAAGCCTGAGAGAGATCAGAGGACTAGGAACAGCCACAGCTAACCTCACCTCACCAACTCCGCAGCTTCCAAAAGCGAGATACTTCCTGTCTACCCATGCCTATATGCCTTGCTGTTCTGCCATCTGATTTGCTCTGTCCATCTACGTCACTTCCTCTTCCTGCCCAGCTCTGTCACTTTCTGTCTGTACAGACCTCCAGACCTCCATGATTAACTAGTGTTGGAATTTAAGGCATGTACCACCACCCTGGCTCTGTTCCCAGTGTGGCCTTGAACTCACAGAGATCCAGAGAGATCCCTGCCTCCCAAGTGATAGGATTAAGGGCGTGTGCTACCATTACCTGACTTCTGTGTTTACTTATAATGGCTGGCTTTTACCTCTGCTATCCAGGCAAGCTTTATTTATTAAAGCACAAATAAAATATCACTACACAGATGTCTTACTTTCTACTCAATGAGAGGCAGCAATAAGACAAAAGTCGCTTGCTTATTTAGTCCATGTGTTAGTTTTCTGTTACTGTAATAAACTGCCAGAGATTTCACTTCTTAAACCAATTACCTCTAAACTTTTTGGGGTTATGGTCTAGCTTATCCTAGTGCTGTTGTTCAGTCTTTGCAAGGTTAGGACACTTTCCAAAACTTACTGGTGGTTGGTAGAATTCACTGCTTTCAAAGTACAGGACTGAAACCATTTTCCTGTAGGCTGTCACTCCAGGACAGGTTCCTAAAGGCTGCCTTTAGGTCCTTACCACAAGGTCTTCTCTATACCCCTTTCTTGTAACATGAAAGCTTACTTAGGTCAGGGCAAGCAGAATCTTTTTCCAGTCTGTTACCCAGACTAATCTAATCTAAGAAACGCAGTCACAGCCAGGCAGTGGTGGTGGTGGTGCACGTCTTTAATTCCAGCACTCAGAGGCAGAGGCAGGTGGATCTCTGAGTTCAAGGCCAGCCTGGTCTACAAAGCAAGTTCCAGGACAGCCAGGACTGTTGCACAAAGACACCCTGTCATGAAAAACAAAAAAGAAAAAAAAAATTCAGTCACTGGCTCCCTGTGATCAAGAGGAGGGACTTAGATATGTGTAGACCTCTGAGTATGCTTCTAGGCTTCAATGATTCTGGATAAGAATGAAAATGGAGTATGAGAGCATAAACTTTTGAGATGGGAAGGGATTTGACAGAGAAGTTAAGAAAAAGTCAGTGGGGCTGGGGATATAGCTGCTTGGTACAGTGTTTGCCCAGCATACACAAGACCCTGGGTTGAGCCTCAGCATATCATAAACTGGGTGTGGTGGCAAGTGTTAGTTAGAGAGGCAGAGGCAAGAGGCTCAGAAGTTCATGGTCAGGGTTAGAGAGATGGCTCAGTGGTTAAGAACATTTGTTGCTCCTACAGAGGACCCAAGTTTGGTTCCTGGCACCAACATAGTGGTTCACAACCATCCTTAACCCCAGCTCCAGGGTATCCAATGCCCTCTTTTGACCTCCTCAACATAGACACAATGCAGGCAAAACACTTAACAAAATGAAAAAGTCTGAAAGAAATATTAAAGTTCATGACCATCCTAGGCTACACAGTTTGAAGATCATCTGGGCTGAAACTCTGGCTTAAGGCGAAAAGAATCCATATTATCCTATGTTGCTAAGTACAGGAAAATGAGAGGTGGGTGGGCTGGAGACTACACACTGCACTTGGATTCAAAGGCAGCTAGAAGTCAGATTTAGAATAAGTTATTTTAGAAAGGAAAACCATGAGTACTTTAAACTCTGGGGAGAGGTTAACTGTAGGAATGAATTTTTTTCAACAGGGAATTAAAGGCAACCTGAACATATTATGAAGACAGGAAAAACCTCAAAGAAGAAAATGCATCAGTAGAGATCGTGGAAAGAGGATTCTAAAGGTTACTGAAGACAATGTACTTGAATAAGAGGATGGAGGGTTTGGCCTGTCCAGATGGAGTCAAGGCACTGATTTCCTTAGGAGATGTGTGCTTTATGTAGCCAGGAGGGCTGGGCCTACTAGATACTACTTCCTGGTGGAATAGTTAACTAGGGGGAATGATTAAGTACACAGGGCTGAATGTGGGTTGGGGCATCAACACAGACAGATCAGAAAGCTGCTATTTTATAGAATTCCCTTAGCACTCCTTTCCTGGGGGAGGGGTGCTCCAGATAAGCTGTGACAGGTAACTCCTGAGGCCTTGCTGTTTTTGAGCCAACTGCCACGCCTTTAAAAGCAGTTTCCATTCCCCCCACGTATTAAAACTAAGGCCCTCATTCAGAAGAGATACTGGGTCCACTTAAGAGTTCTACATGAAAAGGCTTCTATTTTCAGATAATGCCATTTGTCGATTTTACGACGGAGTCCTGAAAATAAGCTTGTCCAGAACTTCAAAACAGGTGTGAAAGAGTACAAAATAAGTTCAAAACAGTTACTCCAAGAGTCTCCTCTTTCTCGTTAGATTCTAATTGTCAATTGATGTTACCAGTCACTACCAACAGTCCTTCTATCTTGACTTTTGTGCTGGTTGAGGGTCTCATGTGGCACAGGCTGACAAACTCCTGACCTTCTTACCTGTATCTTCTACCTTCTGAGTGCTGAGAGGAAGCCACCCTGCCCACCTTATTCCCACTACTTAGTATGTGTGCATATGCAGAGGCCAGAAATCAATGTCCAGCGTTCTCAATCTCTGTCTAAATCCCGAGACAAGGTCTCTCCCTGAACCTGGAGCTCACCAATGTGGCTAGGACTGGCTGCCCAGTGAGTTCCAGGGATCCCCCATCTCTGCTTCCCCACTGCTGGATTACAAGCACCACTGTGCCTGATTTTTACCACCTTCAGGTTATCTCGGCTGTGGTGGTTTGAATGAGAACAGCCTCCATAGGCCCGTTTATTTAAATACTTAGTCCCCAGTTGGCAGAACTTTTTGGGAAGGTTTAGGAAGTGTGAACGTGTTGGAAGAGGTGCATGTCACTAGGAGTGGTTTTCAGTTTCAAGATTCCTGTGATTCTTTGCCTTGTGGCTGTGGATGCAAATGTGAGCTTTCCGCTGTTCTTGTCCCCACTATCATGGGCTCTACGCCTCTTAACAGTACACTGAACTAAACTCTTTCTTTTGTAAGTTGCCGTGGTCATGGTGTGCTATCATAGCAACAGAAAAGCAGCTAAAACAGAATCAGGGAGTGGGCTATTGCTGTGACAGACCTGACCAGGTGCTTTTTTTGGAGGAATATGCAGACTTTGGGATTTTGGACTAGAAAAGCAGTTGAATTCTGTAAGCAGAGCTCACTGGGCCTCACCATAGTGCCGAGAGCTGTGCAGACTGGGGAGACTGAGCTCAAGAGGCTTCAGAGAGGAAGAGTATTAGCAATTGGTCTAGAGATCTTCCTTGTGATATTTTGGCAAAGAATGTGGTTACCTTTTGCCCTTGTCCAATAGCTATAGCTACCACCTATACATTGCACCATTAAGTACAATACTCCAATGTAAATGCAGGGGACTTGTTAATCTCTCATAGTATAGTGGAGACAAAAATAGAGTTTTTCCGAACAAATGTTTATTTAAGAATTAAAGGTAAACAAAAACAATAAAGCATAGAGGAGTACATGGACGGAATATAATTTATCTCATTTGGTCTGAAATCTTGAAAAACTTACTCTAACTACTTACCTGAGGTAGATTTGGGTTGGCACTGCTTCAAGGGAACCTCCATCCATCCCAGAAGTTACCACCTTCTAGCTTTGGTTACAGGCTCCCAAGTGGTCCTCTCCAACCTCAGGTTATGCTATGTAATATCAACACCTTCTCACCATAGTTAACAGGCCTCAGGCCTGCTTTACATCCTCAAAGTTCTGTTTGAGGAATGGTCCACTGTTAGTTTACTTAGAGACTATAGACAATTGCCAGTGAGACAGGCTGAAGGGTAAGTCACCAACCTACTAATGTTTTAAACTTTGTCTCTTTCTCCATGGTCTCTCTAATGAGCACTAATGAGCAGCCATAATAACTAATTCATTTTTTACTGAGGTTGTCATACACCCAATATTAGTTTAAGCATCACAATTATGAAACTTTTGCTAGTAATAGGCATGATATTCCCCAAGGAGAAAAATACATATCTTGTGTGTGTTTATCACAATGGACAAATTTTCATAGTACTAAAGTTATTTATAAAAATTACTAGAACACGTCAGATTAAAACTGACACAACTGGTTTTTTAAAAGGAAAAACACTGGAACCAGATTCTTTACTGAGCTAAATTCACTGGCCTTAAGATTATGATTATCAAACAACTATCAGGTTGAGAGCTTACAGCCACATGTAAGGTATCACCAGATCAATTTCATGACGCTAAACACTAATACCCCATGGAATTCAGGGTTCACTAAACAAATTACAACAAAACCAGAGGACTGTGATTAACAATAAAATAATTATATTCTACAGAGTCCCAAATACCACAGGAACTTGAAATATTTGAATTAAAAGTCTTTTAAGCCAAAGAAAGAAAAATAATGAGAAGGACCATAAGATTCTTGGGTCGTGAGCTATCCAAAGTATGTTAAAGACAATCAATTAACCTACTGCACTGGAAACAAATGTTTATCCTTAAACCTCAGGTGAATCTGCCAACTACTTTTCTAACATTTAGAATCCTGCATTCCAAACCAAGAATATACCTTATATTGTGTTGACTGCAATCCTTTCCCTGGGATTAAACTGTATTTTTCTTTCCTTGACAGAACTGAAATAAATGAAAAAAAATGTGTCATTATGAAGCTTAATTTGCTGCAAGTATCAGGATAATAGAATGTAGAACATAAGCTTTGGAGTCAGGACCCTCAAAATCAGTGTCCCTTCCTCCATGAAGAGCGCTTCATTGTGTCTCTCCTCTGCTTTCTGTGGTTAACAACTTTCGCCCTATTCCTGTTCTGAGCCAGCTGATACGCTATTTATCACTGAAAGAGATGTAACAAGTCACAAAAACCTAGATACTGTAACATCATCATAACCAGTATCCTGGAATTTGTTATTCTCACTTGAAATGAATCTCTAAATTTGAAATTTCAGTGTTAACTCCAAAAGATACTTCAGGGAAAATTTTGGACAATTTTGAGGGCAGATCTCAACACTAAGTAAAGTGTTCTGCTTTTTGCGGAAGCTGATCATGCAATGGGGAAACTACTGAGGATTTTAACCCGAGCTAAGTACTCCCTAGCTTCTTAGTGCTTTTCACAGCCGGCTAGCAACATACCATTCCCATTCCAGAGAGTTAAAAAAAAAGCAAAAAGCAAAGCACTCCTTTCTTCCAACAATAACCCATGCCCTACCTTATACCCAAGATTACAATCCTTTCCTTTACTGGATTTATGAGTTCTTAAAAGTGAAACTAAAGCAATCATTAAGTGGTTCAGACAAAAGAAAAGCGTCTTTACCTGAGTTACCCTTCAGATCCACGCTGACCTGCCCCAGCTCCCCCAGAACAAGCTTCTGGGTCGCTAAGACACTATTTCCTTCCATACAACTCTATTTAATTTTTTACAACATGGTTCAACTACAAGAACAGCTCTTCTCAGACATAGCCCTATGTACAGATTCTCACCCACAACTAGATCTCTCACACTGGAACAACTCCTCTGGAGAACCGGTTCTTTGGGGCCCAATTAGATGAGAGCTTCTAGCTTCTCAGACACAAAGCATTTAGGGCTTTTCACTGCTGTGAGTTCCCTGATACACCCCAAAAGCTGAAAATTAGCAAGATTTTCTCATTCAGACACTTATCTGTCTTCTGATTCTTGTTTAGGAGGATGCAAACCCATGTAAGACTCTCCAACAAATGTTTCTGCCACACTCAAGACAAATATTCATCTATACCAGTATGGCTTCTGTGATGGGTAAGAAAGTCAGAATTTTGTTAGAACTTTTTCCTCTAATTTCTGGGGTTTCTCCCCAGGGTGACTTTTCTGATATCCAATAAGGCGTACATACTGTCCAAAGTACTGCTGACACAAAGCATTTAAATGGTTGTTCTCTGGTGTGAATTCTCTTGTAATGATGAGGGCTTACCACTGCTGGAGAGCTCCCATACTGCACGTGTACGGCTTCCGATCTGATGAACCTTCTTGTGTGGAAGGTTTTCCAAACCCAGAGCATTTGTGGAGTTCTTCGCAAATGTGGCTAACAATGGTGTCCTGATAGATCCATTCTCTGTATAAAGCTTTTCTTACAGTTCCTAAGACTGTAGACTCTCTTTCTCTCTGGCCCCCAATGAAGTCTAAGATTTGAGGGAAATCTGAAATTCACCTTCAAGTCTTTCTCTTAATGAGTTCGGATGTGTAAAGTACCTTTTTTTTAAGGTTATGTGACTTCCTGTCAAGACATCCGCGAGGTTTCCGATGCATGAGAGCTAAGATCCAGACCTTTTTCACTCCCATTACAGATGTAGTCTTCACCAATGTGTACTGTCTGATGCTGAAGAAGGGCTGAGCTATGGTGAAAGCTTTTATCACATACACTGTATTTATAATGCAGCTCCTCTGGCTGAGTCCTCATTTTCTGCTGGGCAACGAAGTCCATACCTAGGAAGAAACCACTCTCACACATAGACCACTGATGTGGTTTTTCTTCCATGTGAATTCTCTGATGTACAATAAGGTCTGAGCCACAGTTGAAACTTTTCTCATATTCAAGGCATTTGAAAGTATGAGTGTGAGTTGCCTGGTGCCGAATTAGGTTGGCACTCCGAGTAAAACTTCTCATGCACTCCAAGCATTTATATGGTTTCTCACCGGTATGGACTCTCTGGTGTACAATAAGGTCTGATTTCTGGCCAAAGCACTTCTCACAGGCACCACACTTGTACGGCTTCTCCCCGGTATGAACTCTTTTATGTACAATGAAGGCTGAGCGGGTGTCGATAACTTTTCTCACATTTATTGCATTTGTAGGGTCTTTCACCGGTATGAGTCCTTTGGTGGCTAATAAGATCCGATTTCCCACTAAAAGCTTTTTCACATTCCAGACACTTAAATGGTTTCTCACCTGTGTGAGTTCTTCGGTGCCTTATGAGATTTGTACTTCGACTGAAACATTTATCACACTCACTACACAGATAAGGTTTTTCCCCTGTATGGCTTCGTTGGTGGACAAGCAGATCAGAGCTCTGACCAAAGTTCTTGCCACAGATGTCACAGGTATAAAACTTTTTACCTGCATGTGTTCTCTGGTGTCCTGAGAGGGCTAAGTGGTGCCAAAAGCTCTTCTCACATTTGCTACACTTATAAGGTTTCTCATAATTATGGATCCTCTGGTGTGAAATAAGATCTGAACTTTGGATGAAGGTTTTCTCACACATATCACATCTGTAAGGTTTCTCCCCAGTATATGTTTTCTCACACATACGTGCTAAGTTTTCACAAAAGTTCTGTTCACGTTCAAGGCACTGATATATTTGATTATCTATTGGAGTAATCTCATGTACATGAATATAAATCTTTTTCCCCTTCTGAGGGCATACATGGTATATTTTTCTTTTTTGAGTTCTCTGGTTACATCTCTCTTCTGAAGTGTACATTTTCTATGGCTCCCTCCTAAGTGGTTTTCCATTGGTCTTCTTGAGCCGTTTTCATAGTCATTTTCCTGGTAACTTCAAAAACAGATCTGTTTCAAGCCTTTCATTCATTAGCAGTTTGCATTTACAAATTTCCAGCATCATATATATTAATTTCTTACTTGGTACCTCCAAACCTACAAGACAAAGTAGAAATATTTATATTTCTATCACTAAGAAGTCTCAAAGCCAAAATCACTGCAGGAAAGACTGAGGCTGGGGAAATGGCTTGGGGATAAAGGTGCTTGCTGCCAAACCTGACGACCTGAGCTCTACTCCCATAACCAATCTACATGGCAGAAGATGAGAATTGACTGTCCTCCAATATCCACACTGCTGCCATGTAGCACCCGCCCACCTCCCACATACACATTGAATAACTGCAAAGAAAAGAAAAGGAGGGAGGGAGGGAGAGGGGGAGGGAGGGAGTGACAGAGGAAGGGAGAGTGGGAGGGAAGGAGGGAGGGAGGGAGAGAGGGAGAGTGGGAAGGAGCGAAATGGAAGAGAGAAAGGGGGGAGGAGGGAAGGAGGAATAAACTGTATATTCTGCATGGACCCCTTACCCTGGGAACAAAATTTTTTGGATCTGAGATTTTTTTTTTTTTTTTTTTTTTTTTTTTTTTTTTTTTGGTTTTTCGAGACAGGGTTTCTCTGAGATTTTTAAATATCTGTATATACAAAATGAGTTGTCTTGGGGATGGGACACATATCTAAACACAACACTCATCCATGTTTCATAGTCAACTTATACAAGGGACCTGAAGATAAATTCATAAAGTATTTTTAAATAAAAAAAATTCTTGTTATTATGCCTGTACCACAATGTATAACTGCAGTCAGAGGACAATTCTAAGGGGTCTGTTCTTTTCTTCACCTTTATGTGTGCCCTAGGGGCACATTCAGGGTGTCAGGCTTCCATAGCAAGCACTTTTTACCAAATGAACCATCTCACCATCCCTCATATATTTCCAATAATTTTGTGAACGAAACAAAAGTTTGTTATGTGAAATTTTCATAGCATCAGTTTGGCACTCAAGATATTTCAAATTTAGGAGCACTTTGTATACTTGGGCTCGTCTTTTCCCTTCCTTTAGCTGGGAAATCAGGACAGGCCTAATAAGCAGAACACACAGGAAGTAAACAAACCAAAGGCAAGCATCTTCGGGTCCTTCACATTTACTGTCTTATGGAATCGTTTTCACACAGCATCACCGTGATCTTTTATTTAGTAATATAAATATGACTTCATCTTATTGTACTAAGAAAATGAAAGCAAGCATGCAGAACAATAAAGCACCCACATCAGTGCAAACAATACCCTTCCCTGTGATCCTGCCACCACCCTGCACACCTGCAGGCATGCTGAAGCACATCTTGCTTCCTTCTCTCACCAAGGGTGACAAGCTGCTGCTGCTCAATCCACAAACTTTCATCTTTGTATGGGATTCCGATCTGCATCCTTTACATCTGCATCCTGACAGCAGTTCTGCAGCCACTCTCCTGCATTATCACTTTACTCCTTTCTACTGGATCATTCTAATTAGAAAACGGGCTATCCTTTCTCTTCTTTAAGACAAAAAAAGGCACAACAACTAACAAGCAAAATTCCTTGATTATCTCAGCCTCAAACTAATCTTCTCATCCTGTTTCCTTTATATTAGAACTAAACCCCCCCCCCCCCAAAACAAAACCTGTTAACTGCCTCCAATTCTTGTCTTCTAGGGTTTCTAGAACATATTCCAATTAGACATTTCACCTGAACTTTCGACCCAAATTCCTTTAAAAACTTGCAAACATCAAGGTCACCTGACCCCTAGGTCCCAGCTTGAGTCATTTCTGTGCTCTTCCCCTACTCTGGTCACCCTGGCCTTTGCCATGGTTCAAGCAAGCCAGAAGTATTTCCATTTCAGGGTCTTTATATCCTTCGTCTCTCTCTCCCTCTCTTGCTTAAGGACTTTTCCTCTAGATGTCTTCAAAGCTTCTCCCTTACCTCATTTAAATCTTTGCTCAGTTGTTACATACTCTCAGTGGGGCCTTTTTTGATCACCTTATTCTCCATCCCAACTTACCTAACACCCCTTCCATCCTTTCTATTTTGTTTTTCTCCACTGAATGTGAACTCTAATAAATAAGATTCCCCACACATACTTCCATTATTATTATTCAGTTTATTCACTGCTGTTTAACACCTAGGACAATCTGGCACATGCAAGTTCTCAAACTTACAACAGATCTTATTTGGCATCTATAGGCTACTTTATAACCTATGGACCATTTGTTGCTCACTATACGTCTATTTTTCTAGGGAGAATGTCTACAATTTATCACAAAGGTCAAGTTTGCAAGAGTGGACTGGCGCCTACATATAAATTTATAAATGAAAATATCAAAACTCACTGAAAATTGCATGCTAGTAAATGTAAATGCTCACCAAATTCAGCACACTTATAGATAAATGGAGCAGAACTCAAAGAAGACACATCATCAAAAGGATCTCAAAGGCACACTAGGATCATGCTTACCTCCTGCTAATGAGACGATATATGACTTCCTATTTCGTCAGTTTATTAATTCCAGGTTTCTAATTTTCACTCAGCAATTTTTATTATTTCCTTCTGAAAGGCACAGACACTGCCCTTGCTTATTGTAGTGAGTGATAAATAAGCAATCGGGAAAAAAATAGCTTTAAACAGATACCAGTGTTCCAAAAGTCACTTGGAAAGGCTTCCCAATTTAGTTTTGGAGGACATAAGAACTGAATAAGTCAAGACTACAAGGCATACAGATGTACCTTTGTGCTGGAGATGGACAGAGGCAGACAACAATGTGCTGTAAGACTAGCAACTCTAAGTAAAGCAACCAGTCTTTGAGAAATGTGAACTCAAAGGCACAGACACAGCTGTGCTAAAAAGTGACTGTGATCGTATTTTCAACATTCCGTACGGCAGTAGCTATTGTTCGGCTGTCTCCTGGCATCACAGAGAAACTCCTCACACTCTAAACCTATTCTCTCTGCTCATCTGATAGTATCTTAGAAGTGTGAATACACTTATTAAGTGAATCTTGTTAGACGATAGAAGATCCACCCTTATTACATAAGCGGATGCTTCTCTCTGTATTTCTTACCTAGATGGTGAATCAGAGTCCACCTTGTCAATTTATGCATGGTGGGTGTCAAAGAGCTAAAGGGACGCCTGGAAGGAAGAAGCCACACCAAACACCGTCTTCCCTTTTAGGAAACAGTTGTCAGAAAAATCACTAACATCGTGAGCAGAGAGCATGCTCTGACCCTCTCACAACCAACCCTCAAATCCTAAAACCATCAGAGAACATTATTCCTACTTTCTTTTATGAGGCTGAGTTTACAGAAATGAGTGCCTAGAACCTGTCTGGAATCTACTCTTGTCTTCCTGTCAATGGAGTAAGTAAGGCCTTCCTTACACTGACAATAAACTCTCAATCCATCCAAAAACTTGAAGGGTCACTTTGCACTCTCTTTTGTTTTATACCTCACAAACAAGGAGTCAAAAATTTGTTGGCTCCACTTCAAAATTCATAAACCCATATCCAACCACTTCTCATCAATTTCTGCTGCTGCCAATCTGTTTCAAACCACTCTCACTTCTCCTGTGGATTATTGTAACTTTTTAGCTGGTTGTTATCTATTATAGGCCAAACTGTGTGCCACTTCTAATCCCTACCATCTCAGAATGTGATACATTTGGCCATATGATCTTTAAAGAATGACTACAGCATGAGGCCATTTGGATGGGCCCGATTCAAGTGGACGGATGTTCTTCTAACAAGAGACTAGGATACCCAGAGTTAGCAAAGACGCACACCCCGAGAGTGAAGACTAAGAAAACAGTGTGTCCTCCCAGCAAACCACCAATACACATAATCCATTAATCATTAAAGGAAAGAAATTAAAATTCTGTTTTAATTTTAATTTACCTGATAAACTAGAAAGGTTAACACATCACAAAAGATGGGCACTACTCTGGTGAAAGAGAAAAGGTCCATTTTATAAGATTGAATAAACTGTAGCTTACCTATAATATAGACAGAAGAAAAACAGCATTCACTTTCTGGTCTTGAGAAAATCAAAATTAAAACAGCTTTCTGTAAAATATAAGGACAAAACGAATTTTATACTAGGTCATTTATACATAAAGGACTTAACAGTGAGTAAACATTTCCCTTAAAAATGGCGAATGAGGGTTAGAAATAGCTCAGCTGCATGTGCTGCTCTTCCAGAGACTCAATTCCCAGCACTCAAATGGTGTCTCACAACCATCTTTCGGTAACTCCAGTTCCAAAGTATCCAACACCCTCTTCTGGCCTGCGGCACCAGGCATGCAGATATAGTACACAAACATACATGCAGGCAAAACCCTCGTACCATGAAATGTTACTGCTTGGTTTTGCTATTTTGGGGGGCCCACCACCCAGCTCCCCAATAAATCACACACAGAGGCTTAGTCTTAATTATGAATGCTTGGCCTTAGCCTGGCTTGTTTCTTGCCAGCTTTTCTTAACTTTAAATTATCCCATCTACCTTTTGCTTCTGGGCTTTTTCTTACTTCTGTATATCTTACTTTCACTCTTACTCCATGACAGGCTGTGTGGCTGGGTGGCTGGCCCCTAGCATGCTCCTCTCCTTATTCTCTTGTTCTTTCTTCCTCTCTTCCCAGATTTCTCCTGCTTTTTATTCTCTCTGTCTGCCAGCCCCACCTATCCTTTCTCCTGCCTCGCTATTGGCCATTCAGCTCTTTATTAGACCATTATGTGTTTTAGACAGGCACTGTAACACAGCTTCACAGAGTTAAACAAATGCAACATAAACAAAAGTAACACACCTTAAAATAATGTTCTACAACAATAAAATAAAATTTCAAGAAAGATTTAAAAAAGAAAAAAAAGCAAATGAATTTTCTTTTGGAATCTCACTGATTCAACTCTGAAGAGAATAACCATAAGTATATAACTACTCGAAGAAAAACACAACTAAAATAATTAAATCAACTTCTTAGGTCAAATACTGAAAAATAATAAATTGAAGGAAATAATGAAATAAACTGAGAAATCAATGAACTAGAGAACAGAAAAAAAACTCTAAAAAAAAGATTTATTTTATTTTACGTGTGTGGCTGTTTTGTTTGCCTGCATGCCTGCGTGTATGTATATGCAACAGTGCATACCTGATCAGAAAAGGGCATCAGAGGATCCTCTAGAACTGTGAGCCACCATGTGGGTACTCGGAATAGAACCCGCATCTTCTGCAAAAGCAGCAAGTGCTCTTAACTGCTGAGTTGCTCTCCAGCTCTAATAAATTTAGTTATAAATCAAAATACTAGCGCTGGGCCTAGCATGATGGCAGAGGCCCTTTATCCCGGCTACGGGGGGGGGGGGGGGGGGGGATAAAGAAAGAGGATCATAAAAGCTGAGGGCTTGCCTGAGCCACCAAACAGGTTCAAAGCCAGTCAAGACAACCTGGTGAGACTTTGTCTTAAAAATAAGCAAACAAACAAAAAATACAAAAAACAAAAACCCAAAACAAAACAAACAACAACAAAAACTCAGCATGGTATTTGCCTAGAATATGAAGACCTGTGGTTAACAATCACTAGCACAAGGAAAAAAGACACAAAAATCTCCTTAATCCTTTTTTGAAACACCATAAGCACACACACACAAATGTGTAATTCACAACTATCTTTAACTACAGTCCCAGGGGATTCAATGCCTTCTTCTGGCCTCCACCAGCACCAGGCATGCATGTGGTGCAAAGACACGCACACGCAAAATATCCACACACAAAATAAAAAACTTTAAAAAAAAATAAAAGAAACATGGTGCATATACAAAATGGAAAATTCTTTAGCAACAGTTCATATTAACTTGGAGAACATTGTGTTTTTCAAAAGCAGAAACAGGAGTCTTTGAGATAGCACACAGCACTTGGGAGGCAGAGAAGGAACAAGAGTTCAAGGTCATACTCTAATACACAGTAAGTACTAGGCTAGCCTGTGCTACATGAGTCTGTCTATAATAATAATAATAATAATAATAATATGAGAGGGGAAGGGGCAGAGATAGGATAAATATCGCATGACACTGGTCACTGACTGTGAACAGTCAAGCTCACTTTTCACTTGATACTGAAATGGAGGCTGACAGAAGAAGACAAGCCAAGAGGTGGTGGTACATCCCTTTAATCCCAGCACTCGGGAGGCAGAGGCAGGCTGATCTCTGTAAGTTCGAGGCCAGCCTGCTTTACATGGTGAGTTCCAGAACTGCCGACAGAGAAACCCTGTCTTGAAAAAGACAACAACAAAAAAGAATACAACAGTTCAAAAAACTGACTGTAAATTACACTGACTAGAGTTAACAACAAACTTAGCGTTACGTGAAAATTTCCAAACAGATCTTTTAAATTTGATTCATATTCTGAGCAAAAATCTCATTATGTATGTAACCCAGTCAGGTCTTGAAATTATGATTCTCCTACCTCAGTACCTTAGTGCTAAGTCTTTTTAGGTATGCATGGCCATGCCTGACTAAGGAGATTTTAAGTGTCAAAAAACAGCATGTTAAACAATGTATAGTTAAATAATCTTGATTGAGCCATTCCATGGTATTTGTGTACATACACACGCACAAACACTTTATTATCAAGCATGTTACAATACATAACTAAATTCCTAAATATAACAAAGCAAAAACTCCGTACAACTCTTGAGTAAGGTTATGTCCTTTTTAGGATTTTATGTATATTTGTCTATGTGAGTCTATATACACATTCATCTGTATACATACATGGAATCCAGAAGAAAGCATTAGATTCCTCCATTATCACTCTCCAACTCTTTCCTTTAAGGTAGGGTCTCTCTCTCTCTGAACCTAGGACTGATGTTTTCTCAGCTAGGCTGGAAGCCAGAAAGCTCCAGAAATCCTCCTGTCTCTGCCACACTCAGAGCTGGGCTTATAGACATTTGTGGGGATGCCCAGTTTGTTATGTGCGTACTGGGAGTCAACTGCTAATCCTTAGGATTTTAGAGAAAGCAATCTTAACCTCTGAGTCATCTCAACAGCTCCAGATTATGATTCTTTTAATATGCAACAAAGCACAATTGTAAATATGTTTTGTAAGATTCTAAAAAAAAATTATGTGGGGCTGGAGAGAGAACTCAGTGGTTAAAAGCACTACCTGCTCTTTAAGAGGACCTGGGTTTGATTACCAGCACCCACATGGCAGTTTATAGCCTTCTGTAACTTGTCCCAGGGGACCCGATAGCCTCTTCTGGTTTCTTTGGGCACACACATGGTACACAGACACACATGCACACAAAACACCTGTCTTAGGGAGGATTTCTACTGCTGTGATAAAACATCATGACCAAAAGCAACTTAGGGAAGAGAGGGTCAATTTCATGTTAAGTTTCCAGGTAACAGTCCATCAATGAGGGAGTTAGGGCAGGAACTCAAATAAGGCAGGAACCTGGAAGCAAGAGCTGATACAGAGGCCATGGAGGAATGGCTTGCTCTCCATGGCTTTAATAGCCTGCTTTCTCCTAGCACCAAGGACCACTAGCCTAGGGATGGCACCACCAACAATAAGCTGAGTCCTCCCACATCATCAATCTAGAAAATGAACCACAGGGCTTGCCCATAGGCCAATCTGGTGAGAGTATTTTCTCAGCTGAGGTTCCCTCTTTTAAAAGGACTCTACCTTCTATCAAATTGACATAAAACTAGTCAGCACAACACCAATACCAAAAGATTTTTTTCTGTGTGTTTGTCTCTGTATATTACATGTGTGCAGGTGCCAGAGGAGGCTAGAAGGGCGCTGTCAGGTCCCCTCCTACTGGAATGACAGGCAGCTGTGAGCCACCGGACGACGACACTGGAAATAAACTCAGGTCCTCTGGAAAAGCAGGAGGTGCTCCTAACTCAGGAGCCACCTCTCCAGCCTAAACTGTAAAGCTGATTTTCTTGTTTTTAAGATTTACTTACATTTTATGTGTATGGGTGTTTTTACCTGAACGATGTACGTGTGTTGCCTTATTTTCCTATTGCTGTGATAAGACATCAAGTCAATTACAAAGTATTTAGTTTGGGCTTAGGATTTTAGAAGATTAGGATCCACAGTGGTAGAACAAAGGCATGATGTCAGGAACATCTGAGGGCTTATATCATGATCTACAAGTAGAAGGCAGAGAGAGCTAAGCTGGAATGGTGTTAGTCTTTTGAAACCTCAATACCAATCCTCAGTGACATGCCTCCTCCAGGACAATGCCTGCTAATCCTTTCCAAATAGTTCCAAATATATGAGCCTGTGGGGGCCATTGCCATTCAAACCACACACCACAAATGTGCAGTGCCCAAAGAGGCCAGAAAAATGCATCATCAGATGCCCTGGAACCGGAGTTACAGACCGTTGTTAGCTGCAAGTAGGTACTGGAACCTGAATCTGGGTCCTCTGCAAATGCTCTAATCATTGAGCTATCGCTCCAACTCCAACTGTAATTTTTTTTTTTTTTTTTTTTTGGTTTTTCAAGACAGGATTTCTCTGGGTAGCCCTGGTTGTCCTGGAACTCACTCTGTAGACCAGGCTGGCATCAAACTCAGAGATCCACCTGCTGCTGTCTTCTAACTGCTGGGATTAAAGGCGTGTACGACGACGACGACGACACCACCACCACCACCACCACCTAGTATCCAATTGTAAAATGCTTTGTTTTGTGTAAGAAAGTAGAAATTTAAAAAACTACACGTGTATTTATTGATTTGGTCCAAAATAAATTAGGAAAAACAAAAAGTTAATGTACTTGATCACCCCAAGATGGGTGAAACTGGGATCAAAAGCTAGGGAGACAGAGTGATATGAATGCAAAGGGGAGGAGTCCCACGTCTCTGAGAGCACATTCCTGCACACATACACACCCACCCACAGAAAAACGGGCTCTGGAGGGCGGCATGTGCGGGCCTGGGCTCTGTCACCTGCACTGCCAAGGAGGCAGGAGGCACAAGAGCTGTAAAATGACCCATAAAAGCAAATGACAGCTGAGTATGGAGGCTCACACCTGTAACTTCAGTACTTGGAGGCCGAGGCAGGAGAACTGAGTATGGAGGCTCACACCTGTAACTTCAGTACTTGGAGGCCGAGGCAGGAGAACTGAGTATGGAGGCTCACACCTGTAACTTCAGTACTTGGAGGCCGAGGCAGGAGAACTGTCATAAACATGAGGCTAGCCTGGGCTATAGAATTCTAAGCCTCCTTGGCCTACAAAGTGAGTCCCTGTTTCAAAACAAACCAAAAGACAGTTTGTTTCAAACAAATAACACGATCACTCAAAAGACAGAAATTAGAAAAAATAACTCTGACATAGTATAAAACTATATTAACTCAAGCTAAAGACAATAATAATAAACAATTACTACTTTTATTTTCTTGTATTTTTTTTTAGAAATAGGCTCACTATGTAGCTCAGGCAGGTCTTGAACTCTGATCTGCCTGCCTCCGATCCCAGAGTGCTGAGATTACAGGCACACAGAGCCTTCCCAACTGTATACAATTACTGAATTGTTAGAGGGCTTTTCCTCATAGCACACACCAGAGTTGGATAATGAAACGTAGATTCCCCACAGTCACAGAGGAAATTATAAGAAGAAAAGAACAAAATCAGAATTCTGTACTGTAGTTAGCTGGAATAGAAGGGCAGTATCAGAATGAGGTCACAGTTTGTATTTTATAGAGAAAACAGACTTGTGTGTACATATGAAAATGTGTTCTTTTCCCAATATTGTCAGCTGTCGAGTCACAGAAGTGCAATCCCAGCAATAACGTACTTATTGCACACTGAGACGCTGAGTTCTAGATACTATTCACCACTGAAAGGAATCCGGAGACATGTTAGATAAATGGGTTTTCAAACCAGCCTAGAAGAAATATCTTTGTTGAGCCAAAATGTAGAAGTGCTCAAACAGAAATATGGTACGTTGACTTTTGATGGTCTTGTGGTAATGGAGACTGACCCCAAGGCCTGTACACACTTTTACACTCTACCACTGAGCTATATACCCTACCCTTTTTACATTCTGCATTCCTCTAGGCTGCCCAAGCTAGCTTTGTAACTTGCAATTGTCCTGCCTCAACTCTTTAACTGAGTTTGCTCACAGTTTGGAAAATGGATCAGATTATCTCATTAAACTACCAATCCAAAGCATCACAACTGCCCTCAATAGCCAAGAATGTGTGGTGCACAAGAAAAACAAACAAAACAAAACAAAAATATTTAAAACCAGGAAACAATTTTCCTATGCAAACAAAATACAATCTGGCTGTCAAACTTCAAAACAGACTATGACACTTCTGAAGTTTAAAATATTGTTTCTTATAGCAGGAATCTTAAAAGGTTTCTAAACCATATTTAGGGTAAAATCCAAGGTTTTTCCTGCCCTCCATAACATGGAGTTTCTGCCATCTTCATCCTCACAGGCACCTTAGAAAGTTAACCGTTTCTTCTGCCTACACTGCTGCTGTTGCTCCATGCAGCTTTCTCCATTGTCTGAGGCATGTAGCAGACTGAAACTTACCACCTCAAAAAGCAGCACACCTTGACTGCCTTATCTAACAGACTTCATGGCCCTTCACACCACCTTGCTTCTCAACATCTCTATCCAACTTCACCACATGTATTTTATGTATGTCCCCTTGTTTGGCTCTCCCACTATAACATAGCATCTACTAAGGTTACCATATTGTCTTTTGGTCATTGCAACATCTTATCTGTTACATTTAGAAATGTTACATTTAGAATACATCTGCTTAAAAAAAAAAAAAGGATACAGCTGCTAAACAAAACAAAACAAAAACCCCACAAGTAAACAAGTATCAGAATCAAAAAAAGGCTATCACTAATATCCTTGGGTCTCCAACAATAATACAAGCTAAGTTGTCCATCTGGCAAACACAAACACATGCTCCAAATCTTAACTCCAGGTTACTGTCTCTAAAATGCTTCTCTTACCCCTCCGAGGAAGGAGCAACTTCTCTCTTTTCATGAGCAACATCAGACTGCATTTCATAAGTAAAGGGGAAACAAAAGTACAAATGAACAAGCTGAGAAACAGAACTTCAGTGCTCAAGAATCTTTCCAGTTAAAGGATATATGGGGCAATCAAAAGTAAATATTTAAAGTATTATTTGAAAACCCACACCTGCTGTATAGGCCTAGCCTACGGATTGCCTCACTTCACTGATTACATGGATTAAGAACATTTAATCCTCCCAAGAACACTGTAAAATCAGTTATCAATACCAATGTCTGCATCGTACAAGAGAACACCCGTTGCTTTTGGTAGTTAGCTAATCATCCAAGACCTCACAGGCAGTCAAGTAACCGAGCCAGGGTTTAAATATCCATCCTTTCCTCCAGAGCCTGCCTGAGCATCAGGCACATTGGCTTCTTCTCTGGCAAATCACCTACTGTGAATACCTGCACGTCTGCTGGGAAAGTAAAGTGTCCTTTAACTGGTATGACAGGGCCGGGTTCGGCACCACTATGGTATCAACAAATCCATTTCCTTTTCCCAAGTATGTTTTACCTTCTTCCTTAGACCATCCCTATATCAAAATTCACATTTATATAGAAACAGACATATGCCACTCACCATAACAAGAACTCAATGACTTTTCCTTTTGGCTCCACAAGGTCTCTAATCCAGAACTACTCATATATTCAATTCTTCCCTCTCCTAGAGGAAAAAGCAACAACGTTGAACATGGCTTCAAAGCTTACAAATTTTTACAGCAAACCATTTAAATATTGTCCCATGCTATTAAGATAGTGTCTCATGTAGCTCAGGCTGGACTCAAACTCGCTAGGCAGCTGAGGCTGCCCTTGAATTCCCTATCCTCCTGCCTCCTCCACCCGCCAAACGCTGGAGTGACTGATAGGCACAGTATTATTTCAGCTTCTGAGATCAAGGATTCATTCTTCACACACTAAAACTGCAGGAAGCCGATACATGAATGGCAAGTTACATCTAACCAAGGCCCCTAAAAATAAATGACTTTGGAATGCTTTGAGCAAACAGATTCCACTGCCGCTTAACTAATCTCCGCCCCTAAGACTGGGGGAGGGTCTTCCCAATGCCCCTGGTTCTCCCGACATTCAGGAAGGCTACAGACTGCCACCAAGCCCGGCTTCATTACTACCTCCAAGACAGTCCTACAGGCTCACCTCCCAACTTTTTCTTGACGGGGCACCTGACACCGGGGCGCGGCGCCCGGTCCCTGACCCCCCGCATCGCTGAAGGCCGCGCCGCCCGGCCGCAAGCTTACCCGGCCGCCCTAGGCGGCACTTCCGGTGATTGGACCCTTGAGCCGGGGCTTCCGAGGCCGCGCACTCTGCGGCGGCGGGTCCAAGCCCAGCGTGTCAGGAAGGGAGTGTGAGGCCAAGAGGTCAGCAGGCCGTTCGTGAGGTTCCTACCTAGCGAAGCCGGCCACCCGCGCCACCAGGCCAACACCGAGAGCTCTCCCAGCTGGGCCACGGCGGCGTGGCTCCGCCCCCAGCACGTAACCATCCCTTAAAGGGCGTCACCGGGGCCCTGAGCCAATAGGCACCCAGCCTCCGGAAATGGGCGGAGCCTGAGCGCGCCTGCGCCCTGGCGCTTACGGCCAGCAAATCCAGTTTGTAGTCTTTGGAATGCAAGACTGGGACGCAGGCCTCCGAGGTGGTCCCCGCGGATCTGAAACCACGTCCCACGTTGTTTGCTTTCCCTACGTCCGTTCAAATCCGGAGCCAGGAGCAGCGTCCTAAGGATAGACGAGACTTAAACACCGGCGAAGATCCGGAGCAGTGGCGAATCCCAAGGCGCTGCGGAGCTGTCACTCACGCAAGCCAAGGACAGAGAAGGATGAGGGCCTTTGAAAGGGGAGCGGCGGCATGGCCTTGCTACGTGGAGAAAGCAGCGGGGAAACAGTACTGTTGAAAGGATTTCGGTTCTTTCCGATTGCGATTCTAGGCTAGAGAACTGAGATATAAAAAATAAAAAAAAAAATTTAAAAAAAATGAAGAACAGTAAATATCCTCTTAACTTGAAGGAAGAGAAATGTATATAGGCCGGCAAGATGACTCTGTGGGAAATGAGGAGCGGAGAGTACTTACTGCTCAAACGTAGAGACCTGAATTTCATCCTTGGAACTCATGTAAAACACAGAAAGAGAGAACCGACTCCACAAAAGTTGCCTTCTGACACGCACACACAATAAAAAATAAGTATATAATATAGCACATGTATCTATACATACCTACATGTATGTATACAATAAAAACCCTCACGGGAAGATGAGTACCACAATCCTCTGGTCTGGCGAAGAACTTGGATTGGCTGTTAAAACTCTAGAGTTAGGGACTGAGGATGGCAGTTAATGTGTTCTGGATTCACTAATTCCTGTTTTTGGAATTCTGTAGTTGCTGCAGCTTGTTTTAAACGAAAAATTTCTAAGGCAAAAAAAAAAAATCCCGTTATGGTCATTCTAACATTTAAATTTTTTCCTAAATTTATTTATTTTATGTGTATGAGTGTTTTGCCAGCATTTATGTGCACATGTTTGTACGTGCACCACCTGGGTGCCTGGTGTTCTTGGAAGGTATCAGATTCCCTAGAACTGGAATTAGGCATGGTTTTTGAGCTGCCATGTGGGTACTGGCTAGGAAGCAAAGCAGGTCAAGAACGGGGGCTCTCTTCCATTGGGCTATCTCTCTAGCCCTCATTCTAATATTTAAATAACGTGTATTAACTTTTTTGACTGTGATATGTACCAAACACAATTCTGATCACTTTATAGACTGGACTGTGTATGGCTATGGGAGGAGGAAATGTACACATACAATTGCAGGATGGAAGATATGCTAAGATATCCCTTCAGCTATGAGACTATTGAGACAATGGACTCCAAGGAACTGGAATTTTGGCAGGAGTCTTCTACTGGAAGAAGGAGAGGACTGGGGCCCTGGTGCCAGGCAGTGGGAAATTCTGAGCAAGACTCCACACAGCTCTGACTATGATGATGAGTGAGGCTGCATCTTGGCCAGGACTGCTAACTTATGCACATCTCATGCCCCCCCCCAAAAAAAAACAACTGAACCTCATGTTAGGGCCGCCAAAGATGACTTGGGGGAGTCACTGAACATCTTTACTCATTCTTCTTCACTGAGTAAATCTTTCTCTGCTGTTCCTTGCTTGTCTTTTTGACATATTGAAGATAGGTGGCTGAGCCTAGCTTGTTAGAGCTACCAAGGTCCATGCATAGACTCTACCAGCTACTGTAAACAGAGATTAGCTTGCCAAGATTACACATTTAGTTATGAGAAGCTGGTTTGAACTAATGATACCAGAGTCCATTACTGAAACCACTATACTAATAGCTACCTCAGAGTATTATGGGAAATTACTTGAGTGAAAATTAAGATGTGATAAGTGCTGAGCATCCTTTGTCAATTACTATAAATGTGCTGGCTGGTTTTGTGTGTCAACTTGACACAAGCTAGGGTCATCAGTGAGGAAGGAGCCTCAGTTGAGGAAATGCCTCAGTGAGATCCAGCTGGAAGGATCTCATTTAGTGATCAATGGGGGAGGGCCCAGCCCATGGTTGGTGGTGCCATCCCTGGGCAGCTGGTCCTGGGTTCTATAAGAAGGTAGGCTGAGTGGCCCAGGGGAAGCAAGCCAGTAAGCAGCTCCCCTCCATGGCCTCTGCATCCACTCCTGCCTCCAGTATCCTGCCCTGTTTGAGTCCCTGTCCTGAATTTCTACAGTGATAAACAGCAATGCTGAAGTATAAGCTAAATAAACCCCTTCCTCCCCACCTTGCCTTTTGGTCATGGTGTTTCGTCGCAGCAGTAGAAACCCTAACGAAGGCATAAACATGTGGGCTCAAGCAGAGTATCCAGTGCATCCAGTCTCTGAACAGTTATCGAGCATCTCTGATTCACCTGACATTACAATGCAATACAAATACACAAGTCAAGGCCGGGCGGTGGTGGCGCACGCCTTTAATCCCAGCACTCGGGAGGCAGAGCCAGGCGGATCTCTGTGAGTTCAAGGCCAGCCTGGACTACCAAGTGAGTTCCAGGAAAGGCGCAAAGCTACACAGAGAAACCCTGTCTCGAAAAAACCAAAAAAAAAAAAAACAAAAAAAAAAAAAAACAAATACACAAGTCAGCTCAGTCCTCAGCTGGCTAGTCTCATGCTCACAGTCTAGAAACTGCAGATGTCAATAGTTTAGAGAAGTTGTAAAAGATGGTGTGGGAGCATAGGGATGGGGCACTTGGCCGACTTGGGGGAAAGTTCAAAGAAGAATAGACAATTAGGCGTGAGGTCAAAGATTAGAAGGAGTTGACTAAAGGTGAGATGGGATGGAAATGAGTCACAGTTCTTTCAAAGGGGCAGACTTCATCTTATAAGAAATGAGAAATGTAGGCCAGCAAGGTGTCTCTGTGGTTGAAGGTGCCTGCTGCCTAGCCTGGCAACCCAAGTTTGATTCTCCGCAGTCAAGAGGCAGGAAAACTGACTTCCTCATGTCTTCTTCTAATCTCCACACCTGGGTGCTAGTATGCTCATGCTAGCCACCCCCACACACATATATGCACACAGTAAATTAATAATGATTTTAAAAGAGAAATCATTCCTGAAATTTTAAGCATGCTGGAGTAGCTTAGTTATCCCTGAAATTCAAATACTTTTAAAGATTTTTTTCTTTTTGTTTTCATTTTAAATGCAGAGACAAAGATAATAATACGTTTAGTAATAATAACATTAAGTTTTACTAGCAGGGTCAGCTGTTACAGAGATCAGATGAAGTAGACTCCTGGGTGATGCTTGGATGGTATATACTGTTAGGATTCTGTACATGCGCAGCTCGGAGTCTTGTCTGGCGCCTTACTCATCAGCGGGCGACTATGTACCACCATAAAAGACGGACACGGACCCCCACACTCTCTCTGTGCCTCTCTTCCTGTGTTTCCTCTCAGTGTTCCTGCTCTGTTTCCAGGCACTTTATCAACCCTATTTCTCTTTACCTCTTAAGCTGCTGAGGCATCTCAGGTTTTTGATTGATACACAGGAAGATAATGTAAAAGTATCAAATTAATCTGGTGAACAACTAATCTGCAGATCCCATTTAACTTTAAAATTAATGAACATCCTATTTTATACTGTAGCCAGGTACTACAAGTAGAAAATTGTAAAAGTTGGTTCCTACCTTTAAAATAATAATTGAAGCCAGGTGTAATGGCACCCACCTTTAATTCCAGCACTTGGGAGGCAGAGGCAGACAAGTCTTAAAGGGTTCTCTAACAGGCCCAAGCCTTGCTAAACATGGTGCTGGCAGGTCTTGCCCTCCCCACTTCCCTCTCCCATGCTAAACCATTAGAGTCCCTTATTTAGGCATTTCCACATTCCTAAAGCTAGTTGCCAAGGTCCGTTCCCTTATTTGGTCACTTCCTTATGCCTGACTAAAACGCCAGAGTCCAACTATCAAAACATCGAGGTCCAGCAATCAAAATCCGTTATTTGGCTATACTGACTAACATTTCCAATCAGGACTTAGAAACTCATCCTAACACAGACTTCCTCTTTTTCTCCTGAAAAACCGCCCCTACAGAGAAACCTGGTACTGTCTTTGCCTGATCCAGAGGCAGTCCCTATCCCTGATTGTCCCTTCTAGGGTAAATAAATCTCCCTTGTGCTGAGAATTTAGTGTCTGGGTATGTTCTATACTGACTCCAAAGCCTCTTCAAATCTCTATGAGATTGAGAACAGTCTGGTCTATATAGAGAGCTCCAAGATAGCTAGGGCTAGGTAGTGAGACTCTGTCTCAGAACCAAACCAAACTGGCTATGGATAAAGGTTTTTAAGCAATTGACTACCCAAGACTTGGCAGGGAGGATCTCAGGTTAAACATGGGTATGTTGTGGAATATTATTTTAACTAGGCAAAGACATGTTACATTTGTTTATGCTGTGAATATTATTTTAATTGTGTAAAGGTGTGTTACTTTTGTTTATACTGCATTTGTTTAATTATGTAAAGACGTGCTGCATTTGTTTCACCTGGCCTGCCTAAGGCACCTAGTTGGTCTAATAAAAAGCTGAATGGCCAATAGATAGGCAGAGAAAGGATAGGCGGGGCTGGCAGGCAGAGAGAATACATAGAAGAGAAGCTCGAGAGAAAGAATGAAAGAAGAGAACAAGTAGAAAGAGAGGGACACACCCCAAGCCAGAAGCCAAGCAGCTGCCAGACAGACAGACACAGTGAAAGTAAGATATACAGAAGGAAAGAAAAGTAAAGAGCCCTGAGGCAAAAGGTAGATAAAGAAAAACAGGTTAATTTAAGTTAAAAGAGCTAGCCAGAAACAAGCCTAAGCTAGGTTGAACATTCAAAACTAATAATAAGTCTCAAGCCTGGTACAGGGGTCAAAGAAGATACATATGTTGGTTTGATTCTACTGGATCGTGGTGCAGACTGCCCCTACAACCATGACCTTATAAAGTTTGAAGAGACCACA